TTTTTTTTTTTTAAACAAATTGAAGTTTGTGGTGACCCTGCATCAACAAGTCTATCAGTGCCATATTCCCAGCACCATTTGTTCACTTCACGTCTCTGTGTGGCATTTTGGTAATTCCTGGCAATATTTCAAACTTTTCAATGGTTACTATATTTGTCATGGTGATCTGTGATCGGTGATTAAGACTCTGAAAGCCCAGATGATGGCTTACGTTTTTTAGCAATAAAATACTTTTAACTAAGATATGCACATTGTTTTTTATAGACATAATGCAATTGCACACTTGATAGGCTGCAGTATAGTGCAGACAAAGCTTTTATACACACTGGGAAACAAAAACATTCATTTGACTCGTGTTATTGTGGTATTTGCTTTATTGCTGTGGTCTGGAACCAGACCCACAGTCTCTTAGAGGTATGCCTGTACCATTGTTTGCTAACCTGCTTAGGACTAGTGGATGCAGTATTAATTTTGCTTTTGGATTATTTTTGCTGGTGGGATTCTGCCTGGTTTGGCTGGCTGTATACATTAATTTTGTTCTTCCAACCACTGCTGATAATATGTATCTTCAGAATTTTCTTAGTAGGGTTTATTCATAGGATCTTTGAAGTATCAGGTTGGCTGGAAGCTAGAGTGTACCATGGAGAAACTTTCTTTTTTTTTCTCCTGGACTTACGTTCCTGTTTTCAAAGTAAACTCTACCCCCAATGTGGGGCTCAGACTCACCACCCCAAGATCAAAAGTCACATGCTCTACCGACTGAGCCATCCAGGCACCCATTAAATTTCTTTTCTTCTTTTTTTTAAGTTTATTTTATTTTTTATTTTTTTTAACGTTTATTTATTTTGGAGAGAGAGAGAGAGAGAGAGAGAGAGAGAGCGAGAGAGCATGAGTGGGGTAGGAGCAGAGAGAAAAAGAGACCCAGGACCAAACCAGGCTCCAGGCTCTGGGGTGTCAGCATGGAGGCCAGTGTAGGACTCGATCCCACCACCCGTGAGATCATGATCTGAACCAAAATCAAGAGTCGGACACTTAACTGACTGAGTCACCCAGGTGTCCCTAAATTTCTGATTTATAAAGTCATACCAGGTCACAGCTTAAGACACGTTCAACAGATCTTGCTTCATGTCCTGTTTGTCAAGTGTCTTGATGCTCTGTTGTTTTGTATCATGTAAAATTCTGTTCAGATACATACAGAAATAGACAAATACTTTCCGAGTATTCATGTTTTGTTATGCCCTCAGGATTAATCCTTCGTTTCTCTAAAAATAATATATTGATGGAAAACATTTGCTTAAATTATTTTTTTCCTTTTGGCTTTCTATCAAGTATGAGACAGAGCTCTGCAAAGAATTATATAAGGCTCTGGGAATCATCGGAAGGCTCATAAATTCTGTGGTTATGAGGCTGCTTCATTCCAAACCCTATGTTGCTGTGGGGCAGGGGCACTCAGATATGTACTGTCTAGATGCTCTTGCATGGGGGCAGAGGAGAAGGGCAGGGAGTAGGGGGGCAACACCTCTGTCTTCTTTTGAATAGCATCTCCCTGGCCTCTTGGTGATGTTTGCATAGGGCCTAATGCTAATTCCTCAGGGACTGACCTGACCCAAGAAAGATGTCAGGACATAAAGGAAATTTGGGGTTTCCTCATCACATACCACGGGGCCAAGCACATAGTAAACATTCAATAAATATTTGTGGAAGGAATGAAATACTGGGCCCTCTGTGGGGTTCTCCAGCTCCATTCTTGGCATTTCATTTTGTGGAGGCCATTTTGCCCTGCAGGATTGGTGGAGGGGAGGGAGTAGGCCTTCTGGAAAGGCTCTGGTCCTCTCTGCTTATCTGCTCTGTTCCACAGGGTCAGCCCTGAACTTTTGATGCTTGACTATGTTTGCAGCCCTGGAGGGGAGAATGGATTCTGCCTGAGGGCTTGTGGAAGCATCACTTCCTGATTTTCTTTCTTTCTTTCTTTCTTTCTTTCTTTCTTTCTTTCTTTCTCTGTCTCTCTCTCTCTTTCTTTCTTTCTTTCATGTTTATTTTTGAGAGACACAGAACACAAGCAGGGGAGGAGCAGAGAAAGAGGGAGACACAGAATCCGAAGCAGGCTCCAGGCTCTGAGCTGTCAGCACAGAGCCCGACGCAGGGCTCAAACTCACAAACCGCGAGATCATGGCCTGAGTGGATGTCGGACTCTCAACCGACTGAGCCACCCAGGCACCCCATCACTTCCTCATTTTCTGTTCCCCAACTTTCACGTTACTTTCCAAGTACTCTTAGATTGGGAATATAGGATTATAATGAGAATTAATTACATATAAAGCACTTAGAAGAGTGCTTGGTACTTAATAAGCATCGTGTGTGTGTGTGTGTGTGTGTGTGTGTGTGTGTG